AGCCCAAGATGGTTGGCAATTTCTAAACAAAAAACAATGTTGATTTTTAACTTATCATTCTCTGTGCACTCTTTTCACTGCAATTAACCAGATTGTATCTATGGAACTTTTAGGATCTGGAGAGTTCCTTTCTCAATATATTGAAGTTTAGTTTTACAAAGTGCCTTTTTGTTGTTGTTTTTGTTTTTGACCCTGACATTCAGGGCTGGCTCCAGGCACCAACAAAACAAGCAGGTGCTTGGGGCGGCATTCTGGCACCGACTCCGGGGTATGGGGAAAAAGTGCCCCTGCTGCCCTAACTCGCTGCCCCAGCTCGCCTCTGCTACGCCTCCGCCTGCTCCCCTGAGCGTGCCGCCACCGCTCCGCTTCTCCCCCCTCCCTCTCAGGCTTGCTGCGTGCGAAACAGCTGTTTCACACAGCAAGGCTGGGAGGGAGGAGAAGCCGAGTGGTGGGGCACTCATGGGAGGCGGCGGAGGTGAGCTGGAGCAGGGAGTGGTTCCTCTGCCCCTCCACCCTAGCTCACCTCCGCTCCGCCTGCTCCCCTGAATGCACTGCCGCTCCGCTTCTCCCCCCTCCCTCCCAGGCTTGCCGCGTGCGAAACCGCTATTTCGTGCAGCAAGGCTGGCTGGGAGGGAGGGAGGGAGGAGAAGCCGAGCGGCGGGCGCACGGGTGAGGCGGTGGCGGAGCGAAGGTGAGTGGGGAGTGGTTCCTCTATCGCCCCATTACTTCCTGCGCCCCCTCCACCCTAGTTCACCTCTGCTCCGCCTGCTCCCCTGAACGCTCCACTTCTCCCTCCCTCCCTCACCTGAGAGGGAGGGTGGAGAAGCGGAGCAGTGGCATGCCCAAGGGAGCAGGCGGAGCAGAGGTGAGCTAGGGCGGGAGGTCGCGGGGGGCCCGCAGGAAGCAGTGTGGGGGGGGAAATGCGGCATGCCCAGAGGAGGAGACAGGGCTGGGGATTTGGGGAAGGGGTTCGGAAGGGGTGGAGTTGGGGCGGGGCAGGGGGGCACAAAAAAAGGGGGGGCGGCCAAAATTTTTTTTGCTTGGGGCGGCAAAAATCCTAGAGCTGGCCCTGCTGACATTCACAAGGATTTTTCCTATGCTTATGCACTGAACCATCTGAATTATTGAGACAATAATGTACTGTTTTATGTCTGCTTTCAGGACCCTCAACCTGAATTGGCCATTCTACCTCAGTAGCTCAGGCACACTTAGGCAGAACTCTGGGTCTCAGAACCCTCATGGATCAGTTGAAGAGGAAGTGTTACCTTGATGAACTTATGGTTGACATTCTGGACAGGGCCAGCAAGCACGTGCAGTCCCAAAGAGAAGGATTCACGTCATGTGGAAAGTCACAAGCAGGCTGCAGAGCTTGAGGACAGAATTGCAGTGAGGGAGCATCACAGTCCCTGGAACAGGAACATCACTTGAGGGAGGAAGACCGAATGTAGCAGAAAGACCTGTTTGAGAGGCAACTTTCGCTAACGGCTGCGAAAGCGCAAACTCCTGCTGCGCCTGTGCCTCAGCCTGAGTCCCCTCCACAGTACTACACACTACAGAGCAGGAACACTTTGGATAGTTCCATGGTTGGATGGCATATGCAACTGGGATCTAAGAGCTGCTGGACAAATCTACCCACTTGCTGTCCTGCACCCCCATCCAAGCCCCCTTTCCCCTGCATACTTCAACCACCGTGCTGACCCTGGCCCACTTGCAGGCCTCCATACCTGTGCAGTGGCACCAAGTGCATTCTAAAGGAAGGGAAGGAAAAACATGCCAGAGGATATGCAAAATTTAGAGGATTGTTTTGATAGCACTGGTTTCGCTGTTTGCACTGTTCAGTGTTTGGTTTATGCATTTTGTTTTATTACTGGTTTGGTGTTGGTTTATTAATGTTTTGGTGTTCTAATGGCAGTTGTAATGTAAGATTTTGTAGGTTGTTTGTAATACATCCATGTTCACAAATAAAGGATTTTAGTTAATTAAGAAAATTTATTGCCGTCGCTAGGTCACATCATATAATGTGTGTTTTGAATAATAAAGATGAACACATGGTAAGGCACAACAGGGAGGTTGTATTCTAACAGTCTTTCTATACATCTGTGTACAGTAATCCATAATGTAAATGTGCAGCCTGCTTCCATAAAGTCATCTCATCCTTATGAAAAATTCATAACAATCAACTCCCCATTCACCGTGTACAGTGACAGTATCCCCTTTTATTGCATGATGTGATAGTACCTCATGTACTATAAATATTGCTGTACAAAAACATTCATAAACTCTACTATTCTCCCTCTTCCATTGGCCTATGCAAATCCACAATGTGGGGGCACAGAGTATCCCAGATTTCTGTTGCCCAGGTGCATCATGCTCCAGCTGTCATAGGTGTAGTTCAGCAATCCATTACTGTCAAAGCTCCATAATCAGGGGCAAATGGCTCACATTTGGTTTCACAAAGATGTTGAAGAGCCTAGCAAGCCACAATGAGGACTGCATTGATGACCCAGGCATTTAAACGTGTCTGTAAACAGCACCAGCGGTATTTCAGTCTGACAAACGCACATTTAAGCACCATTCTGGACCTGCTGAGAATGTAATTGAACCTTTTTAGCATTCTTTCAAAACCAGCAATTAGTTCAGGGATATTGTTTATGCCCATTACTTTTGGGTAAATCACATGCCTGATTGCCTCAGAAACCTTTGCCACCACTTTACCCACAGTTGACTTTCCAACACCAAACTAGTTAGCAAAGGACTTGTAGCAGTCTGGGGTTGCCAGCTTCCAGATGGTTATAGCAACCCACTTCTGGACCGATATGGCCATCCTCATGTGTGTATTGTGATGCTGAAGGGTCAGGGCAAGCTGATCAGAAAGCTCCGGAAGTGTAGCTTTCTTCATGTGAAATGTCTGGATCCTCTGCTGGTCATGCCAGATCCACATATGGAAGGGAAAAAACTCACATTAAATATGCTTTATGGATATTGCTGCTTTCCCAAAGCTGTACTTAACCTCCTGGCCTGCATGAGTGATTTTGTGATGTCAGAGCATAGAAGAGAACTTTGACTCTGTGATTCTTAGGTCTAAGGCAGATGTTATTCAGTTGGCACAGAGGAATGTTGAATCGCTTTTATTTACTGAAGGAGGAAGTGAATGTAACAGTAGGAAATAATCTAATGCTTTCTGCTACATTCTACCTGCTCCTTCCTCCCTATTTGTCAGTAACAGTGTGAGTGAATTGACTGAGAATATAAAGGTTCGGGTTTGTAGTACATTTCCCAATTGATTACTAGAATGAAGTATCTGATGCATTTAAGTTTAATTAAATGAAGTTTGATCACTCATAAAATCCTAGAATTTAGAGATGGAAAAGTCCTATAAGATTACCCACTCCACGTCCTTATCAGCAGGATGGTGCCTTGCATAACATTCTTAAGTGCTTTGTTTTCAGTTTAAATAACATTGGCAGCAGGGATTCCATCACTTCCTTAAGAAGATTATTCCATGGTCTAATTGACCTTGTTGTTAAAACTTTTTCTTGCTGTCCAGCCTTAAAAGTTCTTTTGCTCAGTTTCATCCTGTTACATATTATTCCTTCTCAAGCAGTTCTTCCATTTCCCTTGTATTGGTGCCCTTTAACAGTGTAAAGATTTTTTTTAATCCTAGTCCCCT